ATCTTTATTAGATTCAGAATTTCATTAGGCGAGTACATCGGTGGAGACACATAGCACATGAAGCATAGGAGAAAAACCAATTGGATTTAGACTAAGTGACGAGGTTAGATTATTAAAGAAAGTGTTTATCCCATTAAGACGATCTGGACACCATGAACTCCCCATTCCACAATCATGAAGTCTGCTGCTTTCACTTCCGATTAAAAAAGTATCAAAGAAGGGGCCGGCCGAAAGGGAAAATGAGCGGAGCAGAGGTGGAGTTTGTGGGTCACGTTAAGAGAGAATGCTGCGAAGTTGATTAGATGGAGACGGCTCGTCCATGATTAGTGACGGACGGGGATATGGACCACTTCCATGAATCTGTCCTGAATCCCATTTCCCCGATTCTTTCCCATTCATTGCTTGTTATCATTACTTCTTCAGTCATCTTCACGTTTCTCCCCCTCCCCCTTTGGTTTCCATGTTCATACGTACAATTATAAGAATTTTTAATTATAAATTTATAAATTATTACTTTTTAAATATTAATTTTTTGTATCCTCTTTCTCTTAGCATTTATTAAAAGTTTTAAAGTTTCAAGTTTGAATCAGAACATAAAAATATTTCAAATAATATATTGGTATTGATAAGGTTGCAAGGAAGTTTATTTTTTTATGTTATTAATTCAATTCTTATTATTAATAAAAAAATATTTTTCTTTTATAAATATATATTTTTTAAAGTTGATGAATTGCCTTTAAGTATCTCAAATAACATATAAATTGGTAAGGCTGAAAGGAAATTTACTTTCAACTTTATTGATATGATTATTTTAAAATATCATATCAATAAAAAAAATATTTTTTATAAGTTTTTTATTTTTAATGTAAAAGTTGAAAATGAACCAACTATAGTCCCTGACCACTAACTAAGGTGTACAATTTTTTGTTTTAAAAAATATATTAAAATTATGTGAAAAAAAAAAGAAATAATTTAAAATATATGCACTATAATGTTAAATTAAAAAATTAGTAAAAAAATAAAATAAAATGGTGGAGAAAATATATTAGACATCAGAATATGTTCTCAAAGATGCGAATGGTCCAAGTCCAAATATCCTAAGCTACCAAGTCCAAATGTCCCAAGAGATCTTTCTTCCTTGCTCACTTCTTTTCTTTTTGTAGACAACACCAATTTGGTAAAAAACAAACAGTCACTTCACACTTTCAGAGTAAGAGAGTATAACAAATTACCTCTTTTCAACCTTCATAAAGAAACTTTGGCATATAAATAAGAAAGAAAACGCCTCAATAAGGAACTGAATCCTGATACTAAAAAAGAAAGGAAACTTCTTTGGTTAAAGGAATCATTTTCTTGGGTTATTATGACGAGGTGTGGGCTTGATAAAACCCTAAAATTTCTTAAAGTTAAATGTCAATTTTAATTTATTAATTTTAAGGTTTTATACCATTTTTATTTTTTTATTTTATTTTTCATTTATGAAAAATATCTTTTTTAGTTTTTTTATCAATTAATTCGTTAAATTTACCTAAATATATATATTTTGAATCTTTTAACTCATAATATATTCACATCTTTTACCTTTTAATTAAAAAGTTTATGGATTGAATATATATATATATATATTTGAATATACTTAACAAATTAAGTGATGAAAAGGCTAAAATAATGTAACTTTTATAGTTCAAACACTAAAAAAATGTATAAAAAAGTTAAAAACATGCAACTTGTACAAAATAAAATAAAAAATCAAAGTTGGCAAAAAAATAAAAAAAAAAACTAGGCAAATAAG